GCCCATTCAAGCCGTCTCCAGCCATTATTAGTCTCAAAGTGGGTTCCTCGTTATCGAATTCTGTGTACATGATAGACTTAAAAAGGCAAAAATTTGTTAAGAATAAAATAGCTAAATAAAAAAATCACCTCTTAAATAATGACACATTTTGTTGTTAAAGGACTGTCAAACTAAGGTACACTTAGAAAATAATAGTGTATAAATTGTAAAAAGTATTGCAAAGGATGTGAATACATAAAAAGTTAAAGTAATAACAACTAAAACTAGCCTAAGAAAAAAAAAAGAAGGATGAACAGTAAACAAATAAAGCTTGTAAAAGAAATAAAATATTAATGCACAAAAAACAGAAACTAAAATTACAAGTAAATTAATACAACACATACTTATACATATGAAGTTAAAAGGCAACCATAACTTAAAAAATAAAGATAAAATTCTAATTATTAAGAAATTAACTAGCACAAAAAAAATTAAAGAAATAATGAAGAAAGATAAATTGTAGAATTGTTAAGATGTGTTGAGAACAAAGTAAACACGAGTGGATAGCAGAGAAAATTGAATGAAGTTAGTATATAAAATATGAAGATATTGAAGATCTTAACTGTACTAAAAGTGTCTATCTATCTATCCTGTAAGTAGAGCCGGGTAATTTAATCAATTACCTATGAGCAGCATTTACATCAAATAATGTCATGAAAACTAATTGATTAATTGAAATTAGTGTTTCTAATTATGACTGTTTTCAATTATCCCAATAGTCAATTACTTAATGTTATGATTATATTGATTGGCCTTAAAATAACCATCAATTCACAATTAGTGTTTCTCATTAGTTTCCAATTAGATTGAATGCCATCAAAATAATGAACTAATCAATATCAAGGTTTCCAATTATTACTAATTTTGATTATTCCAAATATCCAAGCAATCGAAATATTCCTATTATAATTTTGTTGTTCAGCACAAATCTACGTAATAGGCTACCTGTGATCTGCCCAATTTTAGCCTTACAAGTCATTGTTTTTGTTTTTTCTTTAAGTCTGTTCAACTTTGTTGATTTGATGATCTCAAGTTCAGTACACATTGCTACCAAACTTGCTCACCCTGATTTTATTATCTGGCAATGTCTCTAATTTTGAACTGCTGACTAGAAAGAGCTCAACTGATTTGTAGCACTGGCAGCAAACCTTTCTAACTATCATTTTTGAACTGTTGACTATAGGGAATGTAACTGGCTGGAAGACCCTATTGCCAACCTTTCTTTTTGCTTGTACATACCATGGTTTGAATAGCAAATACCACTAGTTGCTCAACTCACCTGTAAACTTCTTTAAATTTTAAGACTTAGATTTGAAAGAAGTGTACTTGTATTTTGTATTTATGTCAAAGTTATTAAAGCAATCACACGCTATCCCTAATTTTCAACTAATGACCTGAGGGAAGATAGTTAGCAGCATGATACCACCTACCATCCACATTAAGGGATTGACTGTCACTCTTATATGCATCCACAGCTTAGTGTGTTAAAATTTTGTTTTTCTTTGGTATCACAGTGATTTGAGTTCAGCTTGCCAGCCCAGAAATCCAGGGCTTTACCATAGGGCCAAAAAACACCACTTGAAATTAGTGTCTAAACCTATAATGGACAATTCATCAGTAAAGTAGATCAGTAGAAGAATCAACTTTTTCCCTTATCAGATGAGTCTTTAAGATAAACAAAATTTTCATAATCTATAACAAGAAACACAATTGAAAGCATTCCTGGTTACCTCCTACACTTTATCTGTATGTATTTGGTACAGCTTTAACTATTTTATTCCTACCATGTTTCTTTCTTCCAAAATGTATCATTCATATAGAAATTTGTTTTTATCAAGATGCAACGTATTTACCTTCCTACACGATCATTCACATGACCACTAGTATCAACCTCAATAACTCATTAAAAGTTATATTTTCAAATTGTACATGTTACTCATTTACCATTTACCCATGGAGATTATCTATACTTAGAAAATTAAACACAGTTTATTATATTAGGAGGATACCTATGCTATAAGCCAAAGTAGATTAATTTGTTTTTTCAATTATATGATTTTTTTTATATATTCAAGCTAAATAAAATCTTAAATCACCAAAGATTAAGAAGAAGATGGTTTTAATATTTAAATTATAATCATATTTAACACCTAATCAGATAACTAACAACGATATAGCACGTTATACGTCCTTGAAGTTAACAAAAACAATGTTTAATGTCACTTGAAGACAGCTAATTGCCACTAGAAAGAAAGAAATATTATTAGGCTTACATCATGCACTTTTTGCAGAGAATGCACCGAATCGATAAGTTCGAAGTTATAGAAATACTTTAAACAAGAGATAGTACTGTGTACAGAAAAATTTTCTCTTTTAAAAAAACATAAAAAATCCTTCCATTATAATGCAATCAAAGCAAACTAAATAACAGAGCTATGGAACTTACAAAACCCTGTTCTGCAGTATAAATCACCACTTCAAACAATGGTGGAGCCACTTGCTGCAAGAAGAAATCAACTCCTGGTCTCTTTTTAAACCTCCAACCTGTTTGATACTAAACAATGACAAAGAAAGGGATTAATTATCATATTATATAAAAATACTTAAAAATAGAACTTAAAAACTTTTTTTCACAAAAAAAGAACATACTATTTACTTGGGATATAATGATAAACTCATCTTATTGGATCATGACTATGAGTTCTCATTCTCTTCAGTAAAACACTTTCTACTGTATCACAATGTAGACAAAACTAATCTTATTGAAGTGTGACTAACAGCTCTCTTTCTTTTAGTTAAACACTTATGTACTAAACTGTAGCATTACTTATGAATAAGAGTTCTCATTCTCTTTTTGTGAAACATCTATGTAATAAGTCATAGTATTACACATCTTACTGAATCAGCATCAAAAGTTCTTACTTTCTTTAATGAAATACTTATGTAATACATTATAGCATTACTTATCTTACTGAAGCATGACTATTAGTTCTCATTCTCTTTAGTGAAACACTTCTCTAAGTACTACATTGCAGCCAGGGTTGTAGCTATAGTGGGTGGGGCCTCCCAGGACTCGTTCTACCTGCACAGCACTCCTATGTAACGTGATTATTGCCACCTGGTACTAAATATCACTGAGAAAAAGTTCACCATAAGCATGAAAAATTTCTTTGTCAATGTTGAAGTACAGTTTACTTCACAATTAGTTTGTTAAAAAACAATTTTCCTGAAAAGTCATGAAGGAAATAACCTTGCACTAAAATACTTAAGAAAAGTCCTCAGGAAAAAAATCTGCACGTGAAACTAATCAAACTGTCCACACCATGCTAATTCACTTGTATTTAGCATGGCATATCAGACAATATCATCCACAGTGGATACCATACAAATCCTATTTTCTTTTTAGTAAAAGTTTATGTGGTGTAAAAAAAATTTCAAAATTTTACAGATATCTAAAATTAAAAAGTATATCAATTTGTTTTTAAAAACTTTTTAAATCTCATTGTAATTAATTTGTATCAATTATTTGCTGTTAAAGATAGATCAATCAGGAGAAAGAGAAAATTGCATAAAACCCTGTAATAATTAATGCTATTTCACAGTGTATAAGAAAATGTTTCACTAAAGTGAATTAGAACTCATAGTCTTTCTACAGTAATATAAATAATTCTACAATCAGGGTTGTAGCTAGGGTGTTTTATTTGGTGGGTAGTAAAAACCAGTCTAGTAAATTATAAATTTGTAAATTCCTTTGGAGAGTGTGATAAAACACTCCACACACGAGCAAGTCACTAATCTAATAAAATAAAGGCGGAAACAGATTTTTAAAAATTTACTAATTCATGCAAACAACATATCTATAGTACCTTAGATGGAGCTAATAACTTTTGAAATGTTGATATGACTATTTTAAACAATTAATATTCATGACAGTAAGGCTAAAATATCATGCTGTGGAAAACAGTTTTCTAGGAACTAAAAAATAATTTGAAACAGGTGTAATGAACAGATTAAATATGATAAAACGAAAAAAAATACATAAAATTATCTCTTTAAATCAATTCTATAGCCAAATGCAACTTAACAATATAATTAATATAATATAATATTTATCTGAGGCTTAAAATATGCATTTCTCTCCTCAGAATATTAAGTCACTGTCTTACATATTTTAGGAAATGAATATTATTCTACACAGAGAGATAATACCTTGCATCACTGTCAAAAATGTTTTGCACATGCTTCAAGCCTTCTAGTAAAACTTCCAACATCTCCAATAGGAAGACAACATATTCTCCATGTGCAGTAATCCCCTTGAAAACTTTGTGTATATGCAACAAATGATTTTTGAGGAAGCAAAAGACACATGCCAAAAGTGGGTAGGAAAGGCAGGTGGTCTTGTGGAGAGGAGAGTATACATCTGAAATACATTTTTCAGGTAAGGCAAATGTTAAATTCAGAAAAGCTACTAAACTTTCACAGAACAGATACCTAAAGTCCCACACTTTGGATGGTAGAGGGAGAAATGTAGATAAGTGAATTTAATGATGAGCTTCTGACTTAGAATATAGCCAGCCTGTATATTTCAGAGAGTCAGTAGACTATATACACTTAATGCGGCTAGGGCAACAATTCAAGCCATACAATACATGAGAAATACTTACATGACCACCAAGACTGGTCTGATTCATGGAGTAGGGGTGACCTGTACTACATTTCCAGGTAAACACCCTTTCTTACTTTCCAATCAAGGGGTAAATTCTCCATACTGACCTCCCCAGCAGTTTGGTACTAGGTTAGCAAAGGTTCTCCAACTACACTAGAAGAAAACAGTATGGAGGGATTAAACTGAAGAGGTACAATGTACAATGGGTTACCGCAATCAGGAACAGCAGGAGCTGGCATTTCAGGAGAAATAAGTGCTTCTTGTGAGATACTACCACCCTTAGGTAGGTTCCACTTTCTCCAGTATATACAAATCTATATATACATACACACATATTGTTGTTGTTCTTTGTAGTTTGTGAGGGATTTTTTTGTGTAATCTGCAAGAAAAAGAAAATTCAACTCTTTAGAACCACTGGGAGGATTGATGATTGGTAAATGAAGGGAGACAAAATGCAGAGGTGGAAGTGACTGCAATGTGGTAGTTATGCAAGACAAAGGTGTTAAGAGTCATTCACATCTGATAGCCAGATTCAAGAGAATCCATGATATGGCGAACTTTATGGAAGGTGATATGAAAAGATAAAATGAGTCAAGTCTCACTAAACAATAAACTAGCCAGATAAGTTGTTTAATCCAATGGATCAAAGTGGAAGATGTCATGAGAAGTAAAGTAATCTCACAAGAAGAATAGATGATGTCAACTGCCTCAAAAGGAAGCAATATAAGTAAGGTAACAATAAAGTGTTCAAAAAGGACAAAGAAGATGATTGCACAGAAAAGAAAGGGAATTTGATTGGAGAAAACATCCAGTCATCCTCCTGGGGAGTTCAAGTTTTAGGTAAAAAGGAGAGATCTGCAAGTAAAATCAACTTGTCCCTGTGGTAATGAGTATGGGTGACATCCAAGGTAAAAGTGTCACAGCAACATCTCCTGCAAATGAGAAGTAAAGGAAAATACATGTCTAAAGTAAAAATGGCACAGTTAGCTAAAGATTCAAGTGGGGTACATTTGGAAGCTCTGAGAACTAGACAGAAGTTTCAGTCTGGAAGGGGAACCAGACAAGGAGAATGGGCAGGGTAGATGGCAAGATTGGACCAATTATAATTTAAAGTATCCACAGTTAAGGCTGCAGAGTACTGGTCTGGTGACTATATTCTGACCCTTGATTTTTATTTTTGGGCTCACAGCCACCACATTCAGTTGTTGGCCTGTCATGTTTCAGGAGCTCTGTACTTCATAGCAAATTGACTTTCTTACTGTGACCAGATCCTTCCCATGGAGTGGTCTCCACATTCTCTGGTGTTTTGGTGGATTTGTTCCAATTTTGGAAGTACTCTCATCAACACCTTTGAATCTTTCCTCTTCACAAGTTTCCACTTCTGTAGAGGTCCCAAGAGTGAGTACTTCAATGTTGGATTTAATAAATGGCATTGGAGTTGCTGGAATGAATCATAACAAGAGGAGAAGGCAGAAAATAATAGCAATCTCAATAAGCAGTCAACATCTTGAGAATGTTGATATAGAGAGACCACTCCTCTACAGACCAGATCTCAAAAGGTTGCAGATGTCCAGAACTGTACATTATGCAGACAGAGAAGCATCTGTGAACAGATGCAAGTATAGGTGAGGTGGGGGAAGAGAGATACCAAGGGTAGTGTAAGACCGATTGAGCCACCAAGACAGTAAAAGGTGGAGAAAGACAAAAGAAAAAAGTGGAGCACTGGAAATATTCCAGTGATTGGCTGACTCCAGTGAAGAGGCCATGTATAGGTAAGTCTGAGAGGAACAAAGAAATCAGAAGTCAGAATCCCCAAAGGAGACAGATCTTCTTGTGTAGAGAGAGAAGGAGACATAAGGGCTTTGGTAACCAGATGCTCCATGTCTCAAAAATGTAAAGGAGAAGTCTGAGCCTGCCCTGCAACTTAGTTAGAAAAACAACAACAAAAAACTTTAGATAGCTTGTACAGCCAATCTAAATGAGATGACTCCTTAAGAAAGAGGAAGGTTGCAGTCAAAGTTGCATATTTAGATTGGTTGAGAAGGAGCCAGTCATTCATATAATAGTGGAAATTTAAGCCTAATGGATGCCCTCAGGACTCTACTGTAGCAAACCTGAAGAAAGGGCATGAAACTAAAAAAAAAGCTGAACATATGGATAAACCCAATTAAGCAATGGGTGACTGGACAACTCAGAACATGAATAAATGAATTTGAACCATTAACTGTGGTCATCCACAGCCTGTGAGAGAATATCCACCTCAAACTGTCCATCTTAACTATCTCAACAATAACTCGGTCAATTTGACCGACCACCTGACCTCTTAGTACTCATTTAAAGTCTTTATAGATTTAATACTTGTAACTTTCAATACACTGTGTATATCTTCACAAAATTTGGCAGTCTTTCAGTTAATATTATAAGTTTTAACTAATAAAAATATTTTTTAGTGAAGTATTTTTAATCAAATCAAATAAAAATTTGTCCATGAATATACTGAGTATTTGTTATGAATAGTCAATGTGCAAAGTAATTTATGTTTCAATTAAAAATACTATTCCTCATCTCAAATTTCCTTTGTGTAATCCCTAAAACCTCCTAAATGCATTTTAAATATTTTTTTTCAGTAAAACTCTACAGTTTATCTGCTATTTTCTCTATGCTATCTCAAAACGAGATTGGTCAATTCAACCGACCTCGTAACCACCACCACCACCACCACACACACACAAAAAAAAATCTTGCCAATA